TAAAACATATTAAAACTAACAATAAAATCATTTTTAATGGGATATTCTGTAACAGCATTGATAGATATAGTAGTATTATTAACAAAATTTAAGGAAGTGAAAAAGGATCCATTTATGTTATTTTATGCCTTAATCTCTAAGAAAAACTTACGCTTTGCAACCTTTCCAGCTTTATATTCATTTATAATGAAATTTTTGATTTGTTAGTATCGTAAAATATATAAAAAAGATAATGGAAAATTATGGTTCTTTAGTGGATTTATTGCTGGCTTTTTAAGTTTATGGGTTCGGGAAAAATAAAATAGAAGCATTTGGGCTTTATTTTTATTAACTAGGGCTTTAGAAACTTTCTATAGATATCATATTATTAAATAAAGTATTCCTAAATTTAAACTTGACTATGTTGTTGTATATTGTATTATGATTGCTTTTACTGTTAGTATATATTTTACTGAACCATCTTGCAATTCAAAAGGATTACATAAAGCTTGGGAATAATTTTCTTGCGAAACTTAGGCAGATTATGGAATCAGATATATTTATTAAGAAAAATCAAATATAAAACTTGCTTTATAGGGGTTAGAAAGAATCAATCCTCATAAATATATTAATTGGAAGAGAACATTTTGAAATAAAATTTCAAAATAATCATTAATATCATTAAAATATTTTTTTAAATGATTTTATTTTTTTTATTATATTATTAAATTTAAGTAATATATTTAGTATCTTTTTATTTTTATATATTTTTTTTAATTTATAAATCAAAGATATATAATTTATTAATTTAAAAAAGTAAGCTGATAGTACAAAAAAATTCTATTGATATATTTTTTAAATATATAATTATAATAAAAAACATAATTAAATATTTATTAAAAATTCAATTATTATTATAAAAGATATTTTAAAATAATTTTATAATTAAATTTGATAAATATTTAAAAAATAAATAAATAATATAAATAATAAATATAATAAATCTTTTAAATTATCTTTTTCTCTGATGTTTATTTTATTTTTCTATATACAATTAACTAAAAAATAAAATAAAAGAATTAAAAATGGATAATTTTTTTTTAAAAAAAAACATTATAATAAGTTATATATGTTGAGTTTTTTTAATTAAATTGTATATTTAACTCTACTGAATATTTAATTTATTCTAAATAAGAATTAAATTATTAGTTTTCTAAAATTTGAGTTTAGCATGACTTTACTTTAAATAGTCTTCTAGTCAATTATTATGAAGGAATTTAATTAATAATAAATTTAGAAATTTATTTTTAATTTTATAACTTTTATTTAAATTATAATTTTTTTCTTCTATATAATGTTTAAATATTCATACTTAAAATATACTAATTTTTGAACAAAGTTTAATCTGCCTATCTATAAATTGTATTATTTTATTTTTCTAGTAATTTACCTGTTAGTAAAAAAGGAAAAAATTAATCTTTTGATTATCAAAAATTAACCTTTAATTAAATTCGGATGGTTTAATTTTTATTTAATAGCAGTTTCTTATATTATAATATATATATAAGTATTTTTAATTTTTTTATTAGATTGATTTATTTGTGAATTAAAATAAAAAAAAAAGTTACATACATATACTAATAATAAATAGTTTTTTTTTTGATTAGAAGTAAATATAGTATTTTTTCTCTTTTATAAAAAAAATAAAACAAAGATATGTGCAAATACAGCTAATATTTCTTAATATTTAATGGTAATTTATTTTATTATTTGCTTTCCTACTACAGTCATAGTTTCTTAAACTACTTTTTCTGATTTAAAAATTAAATTTTAAACTTACTTCTACAATCTATCTATTGTCTTTAATTGTTCATATCTTCAAACTAATTTCATAATTTTTTTAAGGTTTTAAAATTTATTTTATTTGATATAATAAAAATTTTCGCTAAGTATTGAAATTTAATTTTTTTTCATTTTATTCTTTTAATTTACTTACGCGTTATAATCAATCTCTTTTTTTCTCTTTATTTAGAAGCATAATTAAATATATATTATATTTCTAGCTATTTATCTTAAAAAAACAAACATCTAATGCCTAAAACCCTTAATAAGTATAAAAAAAATATAAATTGCATTTTTTTCCAAATTTAATAAATATTAAAATTTGTCAATTAGATTTTCATTGGTTTAAAATACTTTAATTTTAGACATTTTTTTTTTTGGATAAGGTAAGAAGGTTTATTATAAGAATTTTTGCATATTAACAAAATTAATAGTTATAAATGTATTTCTTCTTGTATTATTTAATAAATTTAATAGTTGTCTTTAATATATTTTTTTTATGATACAATTGTGTGTTGCATTAATCATATATTAATTAAATAAAATGTAATAGATTATGATTAATTTCTTTATTTTAATTTTAAATTAATGCTATTAATGCATTATTCTGTTTGAATTAATAATTAATTTAAAGCGTAAATGTTATTTTTATTATATATTATAATACATTTTAGATTGTTCTATTTTTCCTTTTTACTATTCAATAAATTCATTTAATTTTTATCTTAAATTGATTATTCTTCTTATTTGTTTCATTATAAAAAAATTAATTTTGAATTTACTATATATATTAATATATACTTCTCTAAAGTTATCCTTATTATTTTTTCTCTTTAACAAATTACATAGTTTAATAAATATATATTTTTTTAGTCTTTTCTTATTTATTATTGATTTTTTGTTTGTTTATAATATCATATGTTCTATCTAATTCTGGATAAGCTAAATTTCTTTTGCATTTTTATTAAAAACAAGTATTTAAGAGTTTATTGTTTGATTAAATATATATTTTATATTGATTAAATAATTAATTTTATAAAAATTAGATTTTAATTTTTTATTAAAAAAAAAAAAAATATATATTTATTTTATTAAAAATTAATATTTTTAATATAAAAATTGTAAATTTTATTATCAATTAACTCATTATTAGATTTAAAAAATAAAAATATTCAAAAATGTTAATAATAATATAATTATAATATCAATTTGCTTCTTTATCCAGATATATTTTTCCTTATTAATATTAAATAAACTTATCTTAACTAACTTTTTACTTGATAAAATTATCTTATTCTTAAATAATTTATAATACATCTTCAAAGTTAAGATTGCTTTCATTTTTTAGACTCTCAATATCGTAACATTTTTATATATTGGCTTTTATATAAACTTAATTTCAAATACAAATACAAGAGGATAAAATAATTTTGTAATTTTTATTTTTTTTAATAAGTTTATTTAAATATTCTAAAAACTATTGCTTTTCTTATTTTAATTTATAAATAGATTTTAAATTTGAATAATTTTTTTCTATACTAGTAAAGTTATTATTATTAATAGTCTATTTTTGTAATAATTTTTGTTATTTTAATTTTTCTAATTTCATTTTGATTTATTCAGTTTAAAATTATTATTCCATAATATTTAATTATAGGATTATCCCTTTTTTATTAATTTTGTTTGAACTTTTTAAAAGATTCAATTTAATAAAACTGTTCATTTAAAGGCATTTATATAATTTTTTGCACTATTTGAATTTGTTATTAGTATTAAATTTCATTTTATTTTTTTTGTGTATAAAAACTTCCTTAATAACTGAATGCTTTTTATATTTCATTTATAAATGTTTATTATTTGATTCCCATATTTTATTTTTGTTAATTTTCTTCTTATATAGTATAATCAACTAAAAATAATAATAATAAAATTACAATTATATAGTTTATAAATTTTACTTTTATTAATTAAACTTATTATATTTTTATTATTATTCAAATTTAATTTTATTTATGTTAATAATAATTAATGGTTTTTAACTTTATCATACATTTACTTTATAAAAGCATTATTTAATTTTATTAAATAATTCTTTTTTTATAATTAAATTTTATTTTAATTTTATTAGAAGAATTAAATCTTTTTCAACTTTTAAAGCATGATTTATAATAACTATATAAAAAAAATATAAAATTTTATATCTATTTTAAATAAAAAAAAAAAAATTAAAATTAAAAAAATTAAAATTATTTAAATTAAAAAAAATAAAAAAAAGAAAATAAAAAAAATGATAAAATAAAATAAATAATATAAAAAGATATAAATAAAAATATAATAAAAATACTATAAGGAATAAAAATGTATTATTAATTTTTAATAAAAATAAATATTATAAAAAAATTATATATATATATTTATATATTTATATTTATATAAATATATAATAATATATAATATATAATATATAATTATAATATTTATTTAATATTTTTGCATATTTTTTTTTTTTTGCATAATTTAATTTACAATTTTTTATTTAGGCTGTTTTTTTATCATATTTAACAGTATTATGCTATTATTAGTTTTTTTTTTTTTATGCACTACTTTTTTTTTATCGCAATTATCCATTCTTTTTTTATAATTTTTTTTTTTTTTTTTATTTTAAATTATAAATTAGATTTTAATTTTTTACTTTTTATTATGTTTTTTATTAAAAATATTAAATTTCTATTTTTAATTTATTAAACTTTTATAATTATAAAGGTTATCAAATTAATAAAAGTCTATTAAATTTATGATTAAAATTTCATTAATTGTTATCATAACAATATAGCATTTAATACATAAAATAATAAATATAGCATAATTTTATATAAATTTTAGCTAATAAACAAAATATTATTTAAATATATAAAATTCATTATTATATACAAATAAAAAGTATTAATAATGAGTTAAAGTTATAAAAGGATAACAAATTTAATGAATTTTAATGATTTCTTTTTAAATATAAATTTTATATTTAATAATAAAATATATTATAAACAATTTATATAGTTTTATAATTTGTATATAAATCAAAATTAAATATATTATTTATTTAATTTAAAAAAAAATTTCTTTTAAAATAATATTTGTTTTGATAAATATATTTTTTACTGTCAAAATAATTAAATATAATGAAAGCAAGAAAAGAAGAGTGTGTAAAAGTAGCCATAAGATGTCGTCCAATTTCACAGAAAGAGCAATAAGACAATCGTTAAGAAATAGTAAAGATGTATCCTGAAAGAGGTGAAATATAAGTTAATAACCCAAAAGGTGAAGCAAATGAACAAGAAAAACTTTTACTTTTGATATTGTAATTCATCCAAAGTGTGCATAAGATTTGGTATTTAATTAAACAGCACTTCCGATAGTTGAATCAGTTTTAGAGGGTTATAATGGTACTATATTCGCTTATGGTTAAACAGGAACAGGTAAAATATTTATATCAATAAAATAAATAAATTAAAAAATAGGAAAAACACATACAATGGAAGGAAGAGCTGATCCACCAGATTAAAGAGGTATTATACCTCGTGCTTTTGAGCATGTATATAGGGTAATAGAAGGTTCTCCATCGAAACAATTTTTAGTTCGAGTGTCTTTTCTTGAATTATACAACGAAGAAATTCGAGATTTATTATCAAAAAATGCCAAAAATAAACTCTAGCTTCATGAAAACTAAGACTCTGGAGTTTATGTAAAAGATCTTTCTTCATTCATAATTTAAAATCCTTAAGAAATGAAAGATAAATTAGAACTAGGTAGATAAAATAGGGCTGTTGGAGCTACAAATATGAATGAAGGATCTTCTAGATCGCATTCTTTATTCATGATTACTGTTGAAATGTGTGAAACTGTGGATGGTTAATAACATATTAGGGTTGGTAAGTTAAATCTTGTAGATCTTGCAGGTTCTGAAAGGCAATCTAAAACATAGGCTACTGGTGATAGGTTTAAGGAAGCTATTAATATTAATTAATCCCTTTCTACTTTAGGTAATGTTATATCAGCATTGGTTGATAATAAACCTTATATTCCTTATAGAGATTCTAAATTAACTAGACTTCTTTAAGATTCATTAGGAGGAAATACTAAAACAGTTATGATTGCAAATATTGGACCTGTAGACTATAATTATGATGAAACTATTAGTACTCTAAGGTATGCTAATAGAGCAAAAAGTATAAAAAATAAACCCAAAATCAATGAAGATCCTAAGGATGCGATGATAAGAGAATATTAAGAAGAAATTACTAGATTAAAAGAAGAGTTAAGCAAAAAAGTTGGAGGAAATGTTAAGATTGGAGCTGATGGAAAATTACAAAAAATTATTGAAGTATTTTTATTTTACTTTATTGTTTTTATATATTTAATTTAGGTTGAAAAAGTAGTAAAAATACATGATGAAGAGAAAATAAAAGAAATAGAAGAATAATTATAAAAAGAATGTGAGTAATTAAAAATGAAAGTTGGTTAAGAAAGAGATAAAATGGAAAGAGAAATTCAAATGTAACGTGAATAAAAGGAAAGATTATTAAAGTAAATACGTGAAAAAGAAGATTAAGAAAAAAAATTAAAGAAGATTAAGAATAACTTGTAACTTAAATTAAAGAAATGGAATAAAAATTATTATAAGGAGATAAATATAAAGAATAATAAAGAATTAAAGAAAAACAACTAATTTAAGCTTAATTAGAATTGGAAGAAAGATAATAAACGGAAAGGCGTTTAAAAGAAGAATTAGAAAAAAAAGAGCAATTTAAATAGATTATTAAGATAAATATTAAACATAATAAGAAGAAATAGAAGTAAAGACAAAAAAGTTGAATAGTTTAGTTGAAAAATTAAAAACTTAGAGAATAAAAAATGAAATCCACGAAGAAAGGAACCGTGAAAAAGAAATTCTTCTAGAAGAAAATAGAAATTATATTAAGGAATTAAAATTAATAGATGTTATTACATAATATTTTATTCCTATAAATGAAGTAAAAAACTAGAAAATAAATTATAGTTTTCTGAAGAATTAGATGATTGGATTATTAAAGATTCAACCCATAAAGATATGATTTAAAAAAAGCCTCAATCAGCATTTGGATTTAAAAGACCTCTTTGTGAAGCATCAAGAATGGCTATAAATCTTGGAGATAGTAATCCTAGATATAGAACAGATAATATTTTAACACTTGATTTAGAAATATCTGAAAGAATTAGTGAAGATTATCAAAAGACAAATTACTCCTAAAGTTTAAGAAACTATAAATGTTGCGCTTAATGAGGATGAAGAAGAACTAGCAATGATGGCAAATGAAAAAATGCCTATTGTCTATATTAAAATCCTGAATTAATCAATAAGGAAAGTGCACTTTAGTAGCCTAGAGTTAGAATTAAAAGTGCAAAGAAAAATTCTAGAAGACCACAAAGTGGAGTTAAACGATATTGAAATTTTATTATTTTATTTTATATTTTTTATTTTAATTTTATAAATATTAATTTTTTTAAAATATATATTATTATTATTTTCTTCGAATTATTTAGTATGACTTATTATATCTTACTTTTTAAAAAGTTCTACTTCTCCTTTAATAACACCTCTTTAAGAATTTCCTCTTTTAAAAATTTGTAAAGGCGTTCTAAACTTTATTCAGATTATTTCTATTTATTTAAACCTTCACTATTAATATATTCTATATATTTTTGCTATTTGTTTTACAAATCTAACTTAATACTTGGTCATTTAAGAATTAATTTCAGCAAAAATTTTTAAAAAAATTCATTTTACTTTTTTAAATTCATTAAAATTTTTTCTATTCTATTAAGTGAATGAATATTCATTGATAAAATATGCCATAAATGATAGGAAGATCTAAATAGTTTATTTAAAAAAATATAAATTTATAATCAGACAAAATGAATGAATAACAACTAAATTAAATTTATAAACATTAAGAATAAAAATATTCTTAAAATATAAAAATTAAATAAACTTTTCGTTTCTTATAATTAAATAAATTTAATTATTTTATTTATTATAAAGCTTATATTATATTTTTTAAATTAAATTATAATAAATACTTAAAAAATACTTTATTTTTAAAAAATAAAGATTTTACATAATAAATTTAAAAATTATAGACATGCAAAATTAAAAGATATATGAATGAAAAAAAAAGTTATTATGTTTATCCCTAATAAGTTTTTATAAATAATATTAAGAATAATTTAAAAGAAGTTTTTATAATTCAAAAAGAGTTTAATTTAAACGTATATTTTATTTTTTCTGCATTAGTTTATTTTATTATATCTCCAAATCCTATATTAGTCATTTCTACTGTACAAAAATAATAAATTATTATATATAAGGATAAATTATGATTATCTTTTAAATAAAACCCAAATTTCAATACTTAATCTTTCAATTAATTTATTAAAATTTTTACAAAAATATTATATGTTTATATATTTTTTTTGGACAATAATAAAAGATTAATTTAAACCAAGTTTTTTTATTATATAATTGCTCGTTTTAATCTTTTTTAAGTATTTAATTAGATTTTATTTTAAAAATTTTATATATTTTATAAATATTATCACTTTCTAAGCTAGAAGATAAATTTCCTTTATTTAACTTTCCATTGTTATATATATTTATATTTTAATTAACTAGTGAAAGAATATGAGAGTTTATTATTTCTTCTGAACATTTTTAAGAAAAGCTATGCCTTTTGTATATTTATCTAACTATAATGCTTGTTCAAACTTCCTTTTAATATATCATTGTTTTCCATGACATGACTTTAAACTATTAATATTGATTAAAATAAGCTGTGATTTAATATTTTGACGAAAATAATAATTAATATTTAATTAAATTAATTTAACAGCATTATTTTATAAAAAATAAATAACTAAGAAAATTAAAAATAGATGTAAAATTTAAAAGACTTACGAAAGTTAGATACATTTTTTGTTTTTAATTAGATGGTTTTTTTTTTTCCTAGATTAATAAATATATACATCTACTAAAACTAAAATTATTTTATTTTTTAATCGTTATGCTTTTATTTTTATTTGATAATACTATTTTAAAATATCTTGTAGTTATATTTGAATAAAAAATATTACTTATTAAAATTAAATTAAGAAATTATATTCATAAATATAAAAATTAGTTTTAATACAAAAATAACTAAATATGAAATAAATTTATAATATTTAAAGAATAATTTAAATATAATATAAATCTCTTTAGAGTTTTGCTGAAAAAGCTCCTTCTTAACCTGCTACTTAAACTTCTACTTAACAACCTTAAGAAACAAAATATTAAATAGTTGATAAGTAACCAAATCATTCATTAATATTAGATCTTATGAATAAAAAATATCGTAAAATGTCATTAGATTAAGCAGTATTAAGAAAAGAAAAGGTTATTATACTCTCTGAATTTAGAAAATAAAGCGATACTTTAATTAAACTAAAGAAAGAAAAAAAATGTCCAGGTAATATAAATTATTCTAAATTATAAAAATAAAAAATAAAAAATAAAAGTATATATAAAAGGATATGAAGATATATCAGATGTAGATTTAACAGCAGAAAGTAGTTAAATATATTCATTAAGAAGGCGTTTACATCATATAAATTAACCATATTATTTTAAAGCGGATGATTAAGAAATAAGATGTACCTATGATCACATATTTTAACATCCAAGTAAAAGATATATAATATATATATTGTAATATTTAAATAAAAAAATATATTTTGATTTAATTAAAATTTTAAATATTTATGTAATTTTTTATTAACTAATTATAATTATTTTAAACTTTATAGGAGAAAAGTGGCTTGTTTATGCTAAATTTAGAAGATATGTTGTTGGAAGAGCTAACAGCTTATATTTACCTTTTTACATATAACATACGTTTTAAAATAATGACCTAAATAGAGGTAATGATATGTAATTAAAGATGCAAGGCATTTGGGTTCATTGTTATAATGATATATACCCTCATAAGATTATAATTGATCCTGAAAATATATCTAAGATAAGACCTTTAAGAATTGGAGATATTCAATAATTACTTCCAGATGGTATTGAGCTTGATAAAAGTAAATATTTATCTATTCATTAAAGGGTAGTTGTAATGAGTGGAGACGTAGAATAAAGAAGAGAAATGAATATGCAAAGTTTTATGGCATAAGACGAAACGTAAGAAGAAACTTAAGAATTTGTTGACGATTAAAATGTTAAGCTTACATCAGACACACCAAAAGTTAAAAAAGAAAGAAAAACCGTTAAAGTTAAATCTCTTAAAAAATAAGTAGAAGCTATATCAGCATAAGTAAAAGAAAAATTACAAACAGACTTTGGCGCTATAAAAGATGAAAAGAAAAAATGATTTTATTTAAAAATTAAATTAAAAAATAATAATAAAACGATTATTTGATTATCTAAAATTTATAAAATTATTTTAATTTTTTTTTTTTTAATTATAAATAAAAAATTATAAAAATCTTGTTTATTTAATTTATATCTTATGGGAAGTGCATGTACAAATATTAGCAAAAAAGATACGATTGAGCCAATGTAAATTATATCCAACTAAAGACTCAATTCTTAAAGTGATATAATTTCAGAAAACAGCTCATAAAAAATATTAAATATGGTTAATGAATAATTATAATTAGGGCATTATATGTTTAAATCTAATTAAAAGTTTAATTACGAATAAATTTAGTGGAAAAATATCATTTAATAATATATAAAAAAATCTTATCCAGATTTAAATAACTTTTTATATTAAACTAAAAAATCAAAGGCAATTTATTATTTTAAACATAAATAACCAACTTAATTTTATTAATTATCTTCAGCAAACGTGCCTCCAAAATTAAGATGGGAAATATGGAAAGTATCTCTTTTTTAAGTTTAAAATGTAATTAATGATGAATAAAATTTTTATTAAAAAATATTATAAAATCCAAAAAATATATCAGAAAAAACCGAATAAGCAATAGATAAAGATTTAAGAAGAACATTTCCTTAACATCCTTATTTTTGTGAAGGTGAAGGGCTTGAAAAGCTAAAGTTAATGCTTTAAAATGCTGCTTTCTATATTCCAAGTATAGGATACACATAAGGAATAAATTTTATTATGGCTTTTTTATTAATTTTAAGTGGTGGAAAAGAAAAAGAAGCTTTTTGGGTTTTTATTTAGCTATTTAATTAAGAAAAATTTTTATTTATGGGTTTTTTTGAAGATCAGTTTCCACTAATTCACTTTTTTATGTATATTTTTTAGTAAAAATTAGAAACTGATATACCTTGTTTAGCAAAGCATCTATAAAATATTGGAATTGAAAATTACATGTGGATTTGGAAGTGGTTTATTACACTTTTTTTATATAGCTTTTAAATTAATGTAGTTGTTAAAATTTGGGATCATTTCATTTCTAATAATATGTTTCATATAATAAGCTTTGGATTAGCTATAATGGATGTATTTTAAGGAGAAATTATGGGGAAAACCATGGATTAAATTCTTATATTTATGCAAGATTTCAAAGATAATTAAAAAGTATTCAAAGCATTTGATTAGATTTTAGAAAAAGTAATAAAAAAATATAATATAACAGAGGATTATGTTAAAAAATGTGCAGAAAAGTTTTCCAAAATAAAAGAACAAAATAATAATACTTATGTTTAATATTTTATGAAATAAGGAAAAAATAAAATAGAATTTTTCAAAAAAAATATATAAATCAAATTATAATTAAGTAATTAAATCATATTAAATATTTTTTTTATTAAAAATTAATAGTTGAAGATAACTAATTAAATGAAAAAGATATTTAAAATAAATGAATTATAAATATAATACTTATCATTTAAAAAAAAAAATATAAAATATAATTATTAAATAAAAAAAAAATATAAAATTATTTTTAATTTTCTAATGAATAAAATATATTACAAAAAGTATAGTATTTTAATAAATTGAAACGAAATAAAAAGCAGTACTTACAATGTTGGTTGTTTTAGGATTATTTTAATTTTTTTTAGTTTTAATATTTTTTCGAATAATATACTTATGATTATATTTTTACTTATAATTTATTAAAAAATTTAAATAAAATATTAAAAACTAAATTAGAGATGATAGCAAAAATATTAAATATATACATATATAATTATATAATTTTATCATCATCTTACTATACAAAATGTAAATTTATAATTTATATATAATTTTTTATTCTTTTTTTATTTATTTATGTATTATTTAATAAACTAATTTATTTATCTTATAATTCTTTATAATTCTAATATTAAAATTATTGTTTTATACTATTTGATATTCAATTAATTAGATTATTAAAAGATTTTATTTGTACAAATTCGATAAATTAATATGTATTATTGTTAGTTTATAATTTATTGTAAATAAAACGTATTTTGACCCTAAATGTACTTGTAGTCTTAATTTAAAATATGTAAAGTAATTTAAGCAAAATTGCAAAATGCAGAGTTATGTTTCAGATCTTGTTTCTCAAAAACGGAATATTAATCTGTAAGCTATCTAACAGAAAATATGCGCAATTAAAGTCAAGTAGCATATTAGCATATAAGCCTTCATATTTTTTCCTCTCCTTGGCATCGAACGGACTATTGATAAAGTTTTAAAACTTGTTCCACAGCAGGAATCGCCAATATATATATACCATATAGTTGGGGTTAAATATGGAAAGAAAACAAACTTTAACTAATTATAATATATTAATCATGTAGAATCAGTCGAAATAACTAAGCCTCATCTGGAAAAGAGCGCAAACAACAGAAAACTAGATAAAAGCCAGACAAAAATGAAATATAAAATATTTCTAAAATATATTAGTAAAATGAATTATATATATATATTTAAATTTTCAAAACAAATGTATACATATATAAAATTTATTTAATATCAAATAATAAATAAACATAATTTTTTTGTAAAGTATTCAATTTATAATTTATAATAATCAAATTTTAACATTAAAATTATAAATCTATTATTTGATTTTATTTATTATCTATATTTTATTAATAAATTACATAAAGAAGTACTTATAAATTAGACCCAGAAGTAATTATAAAGATAGCTGTGTATTAAATTTTTATAATATTTTATTTTATTACATATTTAAATCATTTAATTAAAAAAAACAAAAGATGTAACAATGACTAAAAAAAACATCTGTATAATAATAAAAATTGAAATAGTTTTATTTTATTAAATATGAAAAACAATCAACTAAATTTAAATTATGTATTAGTTATTATAATACACATAAATTAAATTTCTCTAATAAATAATTTATTATTATAAATTAATAATCTTTTATATCTTAGTTTTGAATTTTTTCTTTTATTAACGAAATACATTATAGCTAAACAATATTAAAATTATGGTTTAAAAGTTTATTAAAAATTAATTAATATTTTTAAAATCATAAAATTAACTAAACTTTTAACCATTTATTAATAATAAATTAATTTTTTAAATATCCTTAATTTTATTTAATTATTTTTTAAAATTTAAATTTAGTTTGTTCTTAATTTAATTAACCTATTTATGCTTATTATAATTGTAAAAAAAAGTAATATGCGATTTCTGAAAAAAAGAATTATAATATTTATTTATAAATATAAAAAAATATTAATTTTAAATATTATTTTTATGAGATTATTTTAATAGTTTATACTATATTAATTTATTATTATTATGATATACATTATATTATTAATTTTAAAACACTTTAATCAATATATCTAAAATATTTATAGGTTATTAATTTTAAATTTAATAATTATTAAGATTTTTAACTGTTAAATTATTTTTTTTAATTTTGTATTTAATTAATACTCGTTAAAGAATACTTTTTTAAAATGCATATAAATTAAAATGACAATATATTAATTGGAGTTATTTAGAATAATAATTTTAAAAATTAATTATAATTATAATAATATTTATTACAAATTTATCAATTTTTTTACAATATTAAGAAAATTTAATTATATAAATCTAAATTATACAACTCAATTTTTATAAAAAATTAAAATGTAAAATTTATTATAACAAAATTTTATGTTGTCAAATTTATTAATTATTATTTTACTATTATTATATATTTTATTAAATAATCATTTTTTAAAGTTAACTTTTTTAATAACTTATATTCTAATGTTATTAAAATTATATATCAATTCCATAGTTTATTTTTTTAACCATTCTACTCATTTTATCTATTAATTATTAACAAAAATAAGCAGAATTAATATTATTATTTTTTATTAAATCTATGTTTTTTTTATATTCTTCAAATCCCTAATCAACAATAAAAATAAATAAAATAATATTAATTATATACTTTATCAATTCTCTCATTAAATAATATAATATTTTAATCTTAGTTTGTAGGCTTTATATTAAAATTTGTATTTTGTTCAATAATTTTATACATTTAATTAGTTAAATCATAAATTTTTTATTAACTTTCTATATAATAATCAATATCTTAATTTAATTCTAAATATTTAATTCTATTTTTTAATTAATGATTTTCTTAAGATAAAATGCTTATAAGTATATCTTTTTCATCTTATAATTCTTAGCTATTATTACTATTACTAATTTATTCATTTCTTTAAATTTGATTTTACTATTCTATAAAAAAACAATTAACATAAAACTAATTTGTATAAACTATATTACTTTTTTCAGTAGAAGTAGATTTTACTAGTTTATCTATCATTGGAGTTGAAAAGCTTGAATTGTTTATATTATTCTTATTTACAATAAATGTTTCATGAGAAAAAAACTTATTATTTTGAATTAAATTATAATTTTAATTACTATTTTGATTAGGATTATTATTAAAATTATAAGTGTTTAAAATTTAAGATTATTATTATTATTATTATTAATTAATTTTTTACTAAAAATTGTTTTAATTTCCATAAATATTATTACCTACCTATTTATTTTATAAATCCATCATAGTAATACTATATTATTATTATTATTATAAGTATTGGCTCTGATTTTTTTATTATGGAGTATACTTAATTTATTATTCGGGGCAAGTCATTTTACCAGATTATTTTCCTAATTATATTCCTAACTAACCATATTCATTACTTCCCCATGAGTAAACTTAACCTTCAACAGTAAGTGCAATTGAATGCTTTTTACCACATTAAATTTATACGACTTCTTTTTAATTAAAAAACATTATTTTTTTAGGCAAGTTAACTCTACTTAAATCTTAAAAGCCCAATTATCCAGCCTAATTAAAACCCCAACCATAAACTAAATTTCCACTTATTATTGCCATAGTATGGCTATCTCCGCAAGCGATTTCTAATACTCTAATATCCTAAAACTCTTTCACTTTTTTAGGAATTTCTTCATTTTAGTTACTTCCATGACCCAATTAACCATTAACACCCTGACCCCATGTATATAATTTACCTTAATTAGTACATGCGGCCGAATGATGAGTACCTAAAGCTATTTTGGTAACAATAATATTTTAAATTGAAAAAGTTTCAATTATTTTTGGATATTTTTAGTATTTTACATCTTTTTCATATCCTAATCTACCAAATTCTCCACTTCCCCATGAAAATACATTTCCTTTTGTATCTATAGACATTGAATAATTTGATTATGCATATATTTTCTCCAATTTTCCTTACCAATAATCTGGAGTTATTTAAACTGGGTCACTTATTTAATAATTTTTAGGACCAGTTTCTATTCCTAGTTACCAATCATCAGAACAACCCCAAACAAATAATTTATTTGAATATTCTTATTGTGCATTATCTTCAAGGCCATTATTTGGTGCATTTATAATAGCCATAGTATGCTTTTAACCGCATGAAATATCAATTATTTTCCAACCAATTTCAATTGCTTTTATAAAACTCTCAAATAATTTTGGTTATATAATTATAGGATTATTTTCAAATCCTAATTTGCCATATTCTCCGTTGCCCCTTTTTTATTTAAATAATTTATTTTTTATAAAAATTACCAACAATATACTTGACCAGTTTCGATGCTCCAAGCATATGTATGGTCAGTCCCTGTAGCAATATTATCTATTTTCTTTTATAATTGCTTTTAATTTATCTCTTATTTATATATTTATTTTTTATATTACTTTATCTTATAATGCGCTTATTTAAAGTGGGTATCTTATTGTATATTAACTATTATTTTCTAAATAAGGAAAGTATTATTCATATATTTATAAATATTATTCAATTGTTTCAATTGACAAACCAAGCCTGTTATTGATATTACATCCCCATGCATAAATATTAAATTAATTATCAATAGCGAAATTATGGTCACTACCTGAGTATATCTTTTTTATAATTAATTTTTATGCTATTTTTTAATACAATTACCTTTTTAATATTTTAAAGTCCTTCAATTAAATTTGGAAAACATGATCTTTAAAATTATTTGGGTTCTTATTAATTCATTTAAAATGATTTAAAATAAAAATAAAATATATTTTTAAAAATATATAAAATATTTATTTTTATTATTTTTTTTTAATAAAAAGCTTTGTTAATGATAAATTCTTATTTATCTAATTAATATTATTTAAATATAAATATATTAATTTTATCAAGCTTCATTATTATAGCAAAAATTTAGGTAATAAAATTTAAATTATATAAAGTAAAATTATAATAATAAATAATGATTTTAAAATAATAACATTTAATAAAATTAAAACTAATTTTATATCAAATGGAAATGATTGATCTTATAAATAATAAAAAAACATATGTATAAAACATAATAAATTAGCATTTATTTTTATTCACAAAAAAACTTAAATAAAAAAATCAATAGTTTTCTAATTAGAGATTAAAATATAAAAATGCTTTACTATATAAATTGATAAAAAAAAATTATAAAATTAATTAATAAGTATAAATTTAATTTATACTGTGAATATGAAAATAAAATAATAAATATTTTTTTAAATATATTCATTATTAAAATAAATAATTTGTTAAATATGTTATATGATTTTTTAATTAATTTTACTGTTGTTATATATTATTTATATAATATAGTATTATTCATACTTTAATCTTTTTTTTATTATTAAAATATTATTTATTTTAATTAGTTAATTAATAAATAATATATTTTATATTATATTATATTATTTATTATATAATAAATAAATTTTATTTTCTTAATTATAATTATATTTATTGAATTTTTTAAACTTATTTAAAATAAAAGAATATATTAAAAAACATTAAATTTATTTATATTTAAAAATTAATATTATAAATATAAATAATAATATATAAAATAAAAGACAAATATTTATAATTTTTTTAATTTAAATAAAGTCTAAATAGAATAATAATATATTTATATAATTTATTATTCTTTTTCACCAATCTTCATCATCAAGTGTTCTTCTTTTAAACTAATTTTATTTATATTTTATAAATATATTTTTTAAACTTACAATAACTTTAGTTTCTGCCTCCTTTTTTGATGACTATTCAACTAATTTTGTAAATTCACTTTCAGATATTTTATCAGTAATTCTACCCATTTTAGCACCTTAAATTAATTAAGCAATTATTTATTATGCTTTTTCAGGTTTAACAAGTTTAATATTATTTACTATTGTTTATTTTTAATTAATCATAAAAATATAAAATTATTTTATAAATACATCTAGCCCTTGCTCCATCTGACAAAATTGCTTTTAATACACTTTCTATCATTTCTTCTTGTTATCTTTTATTTTATAATATTATTAAATATTATTTCTATTTTTTTCATTACTAACGTTATTCTTCTTAAGCTTACATTTTTTAAAGCTAAGCTTAATCCTATTTTTATTTTTTATAATTATAAAAACTTTAACTGAAATGTTTTCATTTATTTTATATTACGATTTGCTATTATTACATTTATTATAATTTTTTTCTTGAATTTTTTTTATATTTTGATTTATAATTTTTTATTAGATATTTTTAAATTATACAATTATAGGAATAATTTAAAAAAATAACTTTTTATAAATAAATATAATATATAATAACTATTTTATATTAAAAAAAAAAAAAATTTAAAAAGTTTTTTTTTTTATATTTAAAAAAGACAGTAAATTAATATAGAATGTAATAAAAGGGAGAAGACGAATTAATACCAGTAAGAGGTGATAAAATGATTTAATTTTAATAAGATAAAGAAAACAGTTAAAAATATAAATAAAATATAATAAATATAAATAAAAAAAGATATTCCTTCCACATCGAATTAAAGATATACATAAGTACTTTCTAGTTTTAGATCTAATGTAGAAAAAATTTATTCGAATAGTAAAGATCGTTCTTTATCGCGCCATAGAGAAAATTAAAATTAAAATTAATATAATATAGAAAGAATTTTAAATCCTCTAGATAACGATTTTAATAAATATTGTTAAATATGCAAAAATGAAGTTTCATGTTGTTGTTGTTTTTCAAACAAAGAAAAAGAAATAATATTACAATAAGCACAAAATACTGACTGCTATGTAATAAAAGAAAAAATGAAGTAGCCAGAAAAATAGGGTAAAAAGGAAAATAAAAAAGTTAATTATATACAAAATGAAGTAAAAACTATAGAATAGTAGTAACTAAAAAAAAAAACTGTGAAAATAAATAAAGAACTTACTTAAATACCTGAATTACCATCAATTTCTATTCAAGAAACTACTCTACCAACATTTGAGTTTCCAAAAGAATAAGAGAAACCTATATAGGTAATATGGGAAGGAGGAACTTAAAAACCTAATAAATGTATTAAGAAGTTTGCAAAAAAAATATTTTATTTACAAAAAGTTCTTTAAGATACATAAATAGAAAGAGATATTTAGAAATCAAAATATGAAAATTTATTTGACTAATACAATAATTTGGAAAAAAAGCATTTAGAATTATTAGATTTATATAATATCGAAACTAAAAAATATAGAGAAACAGTTATTTTATATGAAAAATATAAAATTATAGCATAATCCCTATAAGATGAAACAGAAGAACTCAGAAGATAAAAACCTGAAAAAGGTTTTTAAGAAGTAGAAATATAAGAAAAAATTATAGAAAAACCGTAAAAAAAAAAAAAAAAAAAATTAATTAATAAAAAGTGTTGAAATAATAAAGCACATAATTCTTGAAAAAATTGTTGAAAAAGTATAAAAAAAAAAAATTAATATAATAATAAAAAAAAAAAAAAGCCAGTAGAAACTATAAAAACTATATAATCGCCACCAATATATATAGAAAAAAAAATAGAAGTACCAATAGAAATAATAACAGAGAAAATTGTAGAAAAAATAGTTGAAGTTCCAAAAGAAGTGGTAATAAAAAAAAAAAGCTTAAAAAAAAATATATATATATAAAATAAAATATAAATACTAAAATAATATATATATTTATATATATATATATATATATATATATTCAAATTTATATAAATATTTTATTACCTTTTTTTTTATTATTTATCATTTTTATTTTTATTTTTTTTTAATAATTTTTTAAATTCAAAATTTCAATTATTTTTTATTTATTTACTTTTTTTATTTTTATCTTTAAATTAATTATGCCCTTTAATTTAATATAAATATATAGATAGTTGAAAAAATAATAGAAGTACCTTAAATTTAATTTGTTGATAGAGAAAAAATAGTTGAAGTTAAAGTCCCTGAATATATAGAAAAAATTGTTGAAGTAGAAAAGCCTATTTATATTGATCATCCGCCATAATTAGTAAAAGAATATATAGAAATAAGAGATTAATAAGCTGAAAAAGAATTACAATTTGTTTGTGAAGATTACAGAAAATTATAATAAATTCATAATAATATTGTATTTGAATTCAATACTTTAACTGATAAACATTCTAAATTGTAATTCGAATATGAGGATTTCGCAAATTAACAAATAACTTAATTTGAATAAAACAGAAATAAATTAATTGAGGAAATCAAGTCTAATCATAATACTATAGACGAAATGAGGGATAAATTAACTCAACTTTATAAAGAAATATAATTAATAACAGAGCAAAATAATAACAAAAATGTTGAATTAAACAATCATATTAGATATTTAGAAGATTATATTTCTACTAATATTCCTTAATAAAAAGTTTTAAGATAAGTGGTTGATTAATAAGTTCCTATTTATTATAAATAAGGCGTTAATAATGATAATTATTAAAACTATTAATATTATTAAAATTAAAATACATTTAATTAATAATAATATCCATAATCATAATAATAAAAAGAAAGTTAATAATACAAATATTGATAAAATATTATTAAAACTTAATATTTAGTATTTTTATAAGTAAGCAAAAAATTTTTACAATTAAAATTTTGTTTTCATTTTAAATAAAAAATATTTAATATATATTAAATTTGTCAATTTTATTATTCTTATTATTTAGTTACTATCCTTTATTATTATATAAAACTTAATTATTCTCTTTGATCAATTTTTAATATATTACCATATATAGCTTTTTCAATACAATCATATTCGAAATCTTTTAATTATTAAATTAATTTTTTTTATTGTATTTACTAGTAAAATCGTCTTTAGGAGAAACATTTTTTAATTCAGAATATGTTGCATCAATTTTATTTGATTTATGCTTATTAACAATACTTTATAAGAGCTAGCAATTTTCTATCTAAGTTTCACCTCCTTTTGAATAAGGAACAATATGATCATATTAATAGCATAATGGCCCATTACATGATGTAAGACTCTATTTAAATTAATTATTTATCAGTTTATTTAAAAAATATTAACTTTAATAACGGGATTTCCTACTGCATCTAGCCTCCATCTTTCAGGATGCCTTCCTATCATAATTTATGCCTTTTTATAAAATATTTATATATATAATTTAATATTTATTAATTATATTTAATTCTATTATAATTATACGTTTTTCCAACATTCTTCTTTTTATTAATATGTAAATATTCTATTGCTTTTACTTCTTTTGATAGGTATTTATTCTAGATTAACTTATTCAGTTTATTATATATTAGGTTGAGTAACTATTTAATTTTAATTATCCTACTCTTACATATTATATTAATTTTTTGAAAAACTAAAAAATATATTTTAAATATCTTTTTATATTATTCTTCTACAGAATTTTCGAATATTGAATATATAAAATTTTAATTATTAAATTTTCATTTAAGAAAAAAAAAAAAAATTATTAAAAATGGATAAATTATAATAAACTCAAGAAACATTAAATTCAATTAGAAATTAATTCCAAGTTTAAATTCGTAAAAAGAAAAATGGATAAACATTATTTTAGAAAAGATTAAAATATTAATAAGTAAATATTGAAAAAGAAGATAATGTGAAATAAAATAATAACTTTTTATTAGAAATAAATAAAAATTCTTTATAATAGTCAGAAAATGAACTTTAGTAAAATATCAAAAAAATTGATTTTGTTAATATAGAGATATAAATAAATTAATATTTAAAATTAATATAAAATGAAAAATAAATATATATATTAAAAACAAATATACCTTAATTACTTTTAAATTTATTAAACAATGAACTTTTCAAAAATTATCTTCATATATAAATATTAAGTTGTTGTTTTTTAGCAAATTTAACATTTGCAAAATATTAAGAATATAAACATTTAGTTAAGTCAAAATTATTATAAACATTAATTTAAAAAACATTAATTTAAATACCAGAAATAGCTGAATAAACTATATGGGCATTAAATAATATATTATTAGATTAAAAATAGTAAAAAATACTTTAAAAAATATTTAACTTCAATCCAAACATACTTTAAGATATATATTTTCTTTATGTATAAAAATAAAACTAAAATTAAATTCTTTTAAAATAATCAATATAATTTATATGTACTTCTTGTTTAATTGCGAAGGAAAATATTTCTCTTTTTTTTTAAATTATTAAACCTTCCTTTAAAAATCTATGTATACTTTTATCAAAAGAATCTATTTAAAAATCTATTAAAACATAAATTTTAGATACTATTGGAAACATATGTGATGGTAACGGACTTGCTATAACAGAATTATTAAATTGTGGTATAGATATTATATTAAATTTATTTATAAAAGAAGAAGTTTAGAGTAATAATATAACACTTTTAAAATCTTCTCTAATTGTAGCAACTTGTATTTGTGGAGGAAATGATTATCATGCATAATAAATGATTAACTCAGGTATTATAAGTTATGTTTTAATTCTATTAAATCATTAAAATTAAGAAATAAGATATATAAATGCTTATTTAATATCAAACTTATGTGCGGGTAATTACTAATAAATAGAAACACTGATAAATTTTTAATTAATAAATAAAATTATGTAAAAAATTTATATTGATGATTATATTGTTAAAAGAGAATATATAATTTCTCTTGTGAATTGTACAACATAGGCAAATAAAAAATAAATTGAAAATTTAGTTTCTTTAGGAATTTTAGAAATTTTATGTGAAAATGTTTAAACTTTTAAACTTGAATAAAATATCATCTTATTAATATTATAAGTTATAAATAATATTTTAAATAATTGTGTAAAAGAATTAAATAAATATATCATATTTAAATTATATGAAATAAAATGTATTGAAGTTCTATAAAATATATGTTAAAATTAATAAAATAAAGAATTAATTAGAGAAGCATAAATAATAATTAGTATAATAGAATAATAGTCATGAATAATTATTATTTATTTATATCTTAAAAATTTATAATTTTATAAAGTCAAAATTAGAATTAAATTCAAAAGTATTTTTGTATATTAGTTATTTAAAATAAAGAATGAGTAAATGAAAATTAATTATGAAGTAAAAAAAAGTATTTAACATTAAAAAATTATGCTTAATATGTTCATATTATATTAATTTTTTTATTATTTAAAATATAATATGTATATATAAAAAAAGCAAAAAAAATAGATATTTGATTTAATTTTTTTTAATTTAAAAATAAAAATAAAAAGAGAAAAAGTAATAATAAATCAATTTTTTATAATAATTAAAATAAATTTAATTTTAATATCAGATAGTAAAATAATAAAAAAAAAATATAAATAAAAATTACATTAATAAATATAAATGAACTAAAAAAAAGTTAATAAAATATTAAAAAATAAAAAATATAAAATTAAACATACTATTTTTTTATTATATTTATTATAATAATTAAAATTAAATATTTTTTTTTTTTTTTTTTTTATTTATTTATTTATTTATTTAACATTTTATATATTTATATATTTATTTATTTTCTTTTTTAATTTTATTTCTTATATTCTTTTTTTTTACATATATTAAATTCTTTATATCTTTTATTATTATTATTATTTTTATTTTTACTCTAATCATAATAATTATTTTTTTATTTTTTATAAAAAAAATTATATTAATTATAATATTACTTTATTTTATCTTATTTTAATTAATTTAAAAAACTTATTTTATTATATAAATCTTTTTTAATTATTTATTAATTTTTATTTTAAAAAAAATATAAAATAATTTAATTTAATAAAAATTTTTAAAAAAATAATAATTTTTATATATTTGATTTTTATAACTATATTTAAATAAAGTTAACCTTTATTCAATTTATAATTATTATTTATTTTTTTAAAAATAGCATATTATAAAATCTTCTAAATACATTTTTTTTAAAATCTATTTTGTTTTATAATCTCTATCTAACACTCTATATTTTTCTTTTATTTTACAAAAAACAATAAAAATAATTTCCTTTTTATATATATAAAAAGTAATTTTTCACATTTTTGAAAGAATAATATAAAGGATACTTTAGTATTATAAATTATTAAAAATTGCATATTATATTAATTAAAAATTATTTTTAAAATAAATTATAATAAAACCATATATTAATCCGAAAAAATATGTAACTGATTTTATTAAACTATATATAGTTTTACTATATATATAATATTTATAAAAAAAGTATTTAAAATATATAAAAAAAAAAATATTTTAGGATATTAAATTAATTATTTTATTGTATTAATTTTACTATAAAAAAAAAATTACTTAATATTTTTACATTATTGATTTAAAATAAAAAAAAAAAAAAATATAAAAAATATAATAATAAAATTAATAATATAAACATAAATAATAATAACTTATAGAATTAACCTTTAATTAAATGAGAGTACACATATATTTAGTTTAACCGTGATTTATTATTATTTTTCATAATTTTTTATAATTGAATAAATAATAAATTTTTGAAAAAGAAATAATTTTATTTTTTAAAAAATTATATAAATTAAAATATTAAATATACAAATATTACCAAATAATAAAATAAAGATACTTTATATAAAAATATTACATAATTTAAAAATATATAAATATTAATAAAATTATTTTTAAAATATTAAAATAATTATTATAAGTGAAAATAGTAATATAAAAATTATTATTTTTATAACTTATACTTTTTTTTATTTTTGTTTTAAAAAAAACTATATATTTCCATTTATAATTTTTAAATTAAAAAGATTAAAAACAAAAATAAATAAATAATCAATAAAAAAAACGCTCGATGAAGGGATCGAACCTTCGACCTTGCGGTTAACAGCCGCATGCTCTAACCATCTGAGCTAATCGAGCTAATTAGAAATAAAAGCATAATTTTTTATAAAACAATAGAAATTTGATAGTATTTTTATTTTTATTTTCAATTTTAGAGGAAAAAATTTAATCATATTTTTTAATTTTAATTATTATTTTTATTTGAAAAAAAATTATTTATATAAATTTTATAGATTATTATTAATCACTCTTTTATATATTATAAATAATATAAATATTTCTAAAAATAAAATTAATAAAAAAAAGAACGAAGACTTCCTGGATATTACAGTTATTTAAATGATTAAATATATATATATATATATTATTTACATTAATTTTTAAAGACATATTCAATCTAACCATAAGGAATAAAACAGTTAAAGATTTTCAAATAATAATAGTAATTAAGTTTTAAATTTACAAGGTAAAACATATACAAATTTATAATAATAATTCAATAAATAAAATAATAAATGGGTTTTATTCCTTAAAAAAAATCAGAGAGCTTTTATTGTAAAAAAAAGATGAAAAAATTATATTTTTTGTTCAAACATTTTTTTTTATATTTTCCGTAATTTTTTATTTTAAAAATTTTTAAATTCAATTAATAAAAAAAAGGAGAGTAAAAACAATAATGGCTTTTATAAACTATTTTTATTTTTATATTCTAATATTATTTTATAATAAATAATATTTTGATTATTAATATAAATTTTTTTCATAATTTATATATTAAGATTATAAAATAAATAATCTTAAATTTATACAAATATTTTCAAAATAAAAAATATTTTCAAAAAAAAAAAATTAATTATTTAAATTTTTTTAATATAATATAAAAAAAAAAAATATTAATAGGGTTTTTTGATTTGGGCTAACTTAATTTATAATTTAAGTATACATTTTATTTTAAATCTTTGGTTGGAAATTTAGTTTATATTTTTTAATTTAGCTTTAAATATTTTATAATTAAAATAACTTATTCATTAAATTTAATTAACTTTTTAATTCAGTAAATCGTTAACAAGTTAAATTGCATTTTAAATATCCTCTTAATTGAATTTATTTTTTCCTTTATTAAAAATCAATTAATCAATATTATTTTGATTTTCTTAAATTTTCTATATTTATTATTTTTTTCTTTCCTCAATCGTTTATCTCTTTTATATTTCTTAATTTTCTTGAGAGTTTTCTTCATATTATGATTTTGACTCTTAAAATTATGTTTATTATCTTTAACTAATGCTATTTAATTTTAATAATTCAAATTCTTCAAAAGAATCATTTAAAGTATTTTAGATTTTTCCTATAGCAGATATTTAATTAGTTAATTCTTTTATTTTTAAAGGAGCTTATTGATTAGCTTCTTAATTAGTATCAATTTAATTTTTAATTAATGAATTTTATTATTAATTACTTTTAAAATCAATATTATTTTATGTTTGATGATTATTTTAAATATTGTTTTGTATATTTTTATTATTTGTTTATAATTTTTATTAAATTACTTAATCAAACTGTTCTTATTATATTATTATTGGTCTACTTTATAAAAATTATACTGTCTTTTTTATTTAATATTAGATTTTTTTATTTATTTTAATTAATTTAAATTATACTTTTTATAATTCCTAAATATTTTGCATTAATTGATTAATTTAATTCTAATGATTTTGGCTTTCTTATTCCTTTTACTATAATAATTTTTAATGTAATATTTACATTTATTTGATTTTTTAATTCATTTATTATTATATTTAATTATATTCTTCATTTCTTTATTAAATTATATCTTCAAGATTATATATCATATTGTTCTCGATATTTTTTTGTTACTATTTTTAAATAAAAAGATCCTTTTCGTACATTTTCCTTTCTTATTCTAGTTATTATGAAATTATTAAATTTGTCATAACAGCATAATTAGGATGATCTATATTTAAAGGTAGAATATTTTAATGTTTATTTTTCATGTGATTATCTAAATAATTTTCATTTTAAAAATACTTTTTATTATATTTATTTGAATTAAATAAAATTTATTATTACCTTGTCAACACATATAACACATTTATATATTTATTTGTTTTTTAAAAAATATTTATATTTGTTTATTGCATTTTTTTTAATTTCAATTTCACACCTTAAATCTTGAATTTTCTTTTTACTTTTTTTTAAATTGTTTTCAATTTTTTATATTTCATTTTTAAAAAAAAATGTTTCATTTTGCATTTTTTTATCTAATTATTATAAATAATTAAATGAATAATCTTAGTATTAAATTGTAATTTAGAAAATTTAAAGTAATTTAATTATTTGATTTGGTTTTTTCTAATTAAACTCCTCTACTGATACATTAGAATTAATAATATTTGGTAAGTAAAATTATAAAGTTTCTAACATTTCTATTTTTTTTAAATCTTTTATGTTTAAATCTGTAATATTATTCCAATTAATTTTCTATTGTATTTAATTATCTTAATAAAGCTAAGATTCAAATTATTATTAATGGATATGATTGTCCGATAAATTCATTTCTATTTTTATAATTTTATTAAATATTTTAATTTATTTATTTTATTTTATTGAATTAAGTTATTTTTAATTTAAAACAAAAAGTATAGTTAATTAAATATTTAATTTAAAAAATAAAATTAATATTTTTTAGTTAATTTATATAATTAATTGTTTTTAATTTCAAATATGCTTATTTTCATTTGCATTACAATTTAAAGTACCATCAATAATTTTTTTACATCTTTCAAGGATCATTTTATTTAATTAATCATTTTATTAAACTAAAGTTGTGTTGAATCCTTTATATTCTTAATTTTATTAAGGTGTGTTATGAATTTCTGAATATTTTATATTACTTTGTTGATTTTACTTTTGGATCGAATTTTTTTCAAATAGTTATTATTGTTACTAATTAATGATATTTTTGTTGTTTTCGTCTACTTTAGGAAAATCTAAATTTTTCTGAACGTAATTCTATTAGTTTTAATATCGTTAAAGGAGCTCCATTTTTTCATGTAAATTTCTTTCCATTCTTTATAATTCTCTTTAATAAAATGTAACTTCCCTTTCTTTTTCTTGTCTTAAATTACTAATAGAACGTTCTCCATTTTAAACAAGTTAATTAACTTACCTTTCATATTATAAAATTATATTCTCTTTTTCCTTTATAAAAATAAATATATATATATATATATATATAAATCTTAAATTATTTTTAAATAATAAAGTATATACATTATATAAATCTTAAAACTTTAGTCTTTGTCTTTCTTACTCTCTATAGTTTTATTCTTATTATATTTTTAAACAGTTGTTTTCTTCTTCTAATTACCTCATAGCTATTTTTAAATTGCTTAACTAATGATTTAGAGTATATGTTTGATTTTATACTTCCAAAGCAATTTTTTCTTCTTAATTAATACAAGTTTATTTATATTAACTTAATTTATTTTCTAGCATTTACACCATATCATTATATACTTATTCTTTTTACTACATTAATGCTTCTAATTCTATATATTTAGCTTAAAGTTGCTCAAATTAAGATTCTTCATAAAATTATTAGTTTGTTTTGGATTATATTTATTCTTCTATTGTTACATATTTTTTATTAGAATGCAATATTACATTTTAATAAGTTTGATCTTAATATTAATTTTAAAGTTTGTTGTCAATGTATTAATTTTCTATATTATTATCTTTAAATTTGAAATCAATTAATTTATTATATTAATTTATTTAGAGTTAATCGGTATTAATGCTGTTAGATATAATATTCATTTTAATATTTATTTTTATATTTATAATTTTTTTAAAAAAATATAAAATATTAAATATATATATATTTAATATATTGTTATTTATAACATTAAAAATTGAAAACAAAAGACGATTTCGAATTTCAGATTAAAAAAAATATTTAAAAAATAAATATAGAACAATATTATTTATAATAAAAAAAAAAGATATATATGTTCAATTTTTTAAAATTATAATTGTTTTAATATTTTATATATAAAATCAATAATTATTATTAAAAATATAAAAAAAAAAATGTCAAATAAAAAATATTTAAAATATATATATAAATTAATTTAGAAAAAATTTAAATATTTATAAATTCATTAAATAATATATAAATAATAAAAAAAAAATTATAAAAATGCTATTAAAAGCATAATAATCAAAATTAATTTAGTAATAAATAATAAAAAATAAAATCATATATAAATAAAAAAAAATATTATTAATTAATGATTTAAATAAATTATATTCTTATAAAATAATTATATTCTTAAAAAAAATAAAGAAAATATTAGTAAGAAATAATAAAAATAAAAGAAAAATAAATATATAAAATGTTAAATAAATAAATAAAAATATAAATATAAATATAAATAAAAATAAAAGAATATAAATAAAAATAAAAGAATATAAATAAAAATATATTGTATTGTATAGTATTGTATTGTATTGTATTATATTGTATTGTATTATATTGTATTTTATTTATTTATTTTTATATTTTTTTTTTTTTCTTATTCTTATATATATCATTAAATTTATAATATTAATTTATATAATTTTTTTTAATATTAAATAAATTTACAAAAAATTTATTTAACTTAAACTTAATTTTTCGAATCAAACATAATTAATACATAATATAATAAAAATATTCTTAGTTTATTTATATATTTGTATGTTTTATATATTTATTTTTAAATCATTATATATTTTAAATATTAAAAAAAGTATTACATAATAATTAAACAAAAATATTGATTTTTTTTTTTTAAGTAATATTACAAATAATTTTTTTACTAATTATTTCGTTATTTATTTATATATAATTATTTTTACATTAATAAAATATAAATATACAATTATCATTTAATTTATTATAATAAACAAAAACAATGTATTATTATATGAAAATTATTTATAATCATATTTAATATAGAAGAAGAAAAAGTTATATAATTTATAAATCAATTGATCATAATTGCATATAAATATTTTATTTAAGTTAGTTATTAATATTTATTTATACATTTATTAATCTTTTTTTTCAATTATATCTTTATTATTTTAATATATTACCTTTTTCATTTTATTTTATTTATTTATTATTTTATTAGTTTTTCTTTAATTTAATCAAATTTAAAAAGATGAAAAAAAAATGATTAATTCCTTTTTTTAGATTATACACAAAAAAAATAAAAAAATAGAACAAATAATACTTAAATTTTTCTTTTATTATATTTCCAAATGGTTTTGTTAATCAAATATTTAATTTATAAAATGTTTTTTTATATTATATATATTTATTATTATTACTATTAGCATTTTTAAATAAAATTATAAATAAAATATACATATATAATATTAATTTTTATATCTAAATATTTTTTTTTTTGAAAATATATAGATAATTTTAATATTATATAAATTAATTAATGAATTGAATAGAAATTAAATATTTTTGTATTTTAATAATATTTTTTTTTTTCATATATATCTCTTCATTTAATTATGTAAGTTTGCTTATTATTCTAAATCTTTATTTTAATTAATTTTATATTTAAAACTATGTAGATATGTCATTTATTTAAATATTTTTTAAAAAGCATTATATTTTGTTATATTATACTTTAAAAAAAATTAAAAATATAAAAAATATTAAATTTTCTATGTTATTTTATTAAAATAATTTATTTTATATATAATTAATTGAGTTTACTATAACTTTGAGACTATTTAGATTTATTTATATAACCTATAATAAAAAATTTAGGCATTTGTAAAAATTTTTATTTATTTTAATGTATAAATAATTTAAAAAAATATTATTAAAATATTTTAAAATAATAAATTATTAATAAACTATATTAATAATACTAATAATATATAAAAATATTATATAATTCCTTTTACTAACAAAAATTAAACTCTAATAACAAACAAAAAATACATATAAATAAGAAAAAAACAAAAAAAAAACAAAATCTCTAAAAAATAAATAAAAAAAATATAATAATAAAAAATTAAAACAAATTAAATAAAAAAAGAAAATAAATAAAATGAGTAATACTAAATAAAAAGCTTATAATCCAAACGAAAATATATCTGACCAAAATAATAACCAGCTTAATTCAATTAATGGAACTACTAATTAATAGCGTCTAAAGCATCATGTATAGCAGTTCTTAAATAAAATGAGAAATGAAAGTGATTTAATGTATAAGTAATTCGCTGAATATTGCAAGTAAAATAGAGAAATAACTAAATGGAACTAATTTCATCAAGGAATGGGTTAAATGTTTGAAAAATATGGAGATTTACTTTAGGAAGTGAATTTAATGTTACACCCTGACTATAAATTTGAAATATAAGAGTAAGCAAGAAATATGAAGCTAAAAGAAAGCGAAATAGGAAACAACAATAATATATAAGCATTATAATAAAATTCATAATAAAGATAAGAATAATTATAATCCTAATAATAAATGCAATAATGCTAACAGGCTAATAATTAATCTTAATAATCTTCTAAATATAAAGGCTAATTGTAAGGCCAAAAGCAAAGCTCTGTTTCTATGAACTAAGAAGAAATAGAATAAAAATTTGCTATATTATGTTAAGAGCTTAATAAAAGTTATCCATAATAGTACAAGGAATTATTAAATATTATTAATCAAAAATCTTAATAAAAATAAAAAGATTAAAGTTAAACAATAATGGACTCCTTTTCTTAGGTTTTCGGAAATGAACATCCTCTATATATTAAGTTATGTAATATGTTCAAAGGTGACATTTAAAAAGATTTATCAACTAAGACAAATTAATAATATGAAAATAATAAAAATATCCAAGGAAAACAAAAAATTAAAAAGTAAACGATTGAAAATAATTAAAACTATAGCTAAAATATTTCTGCTAAAACATAAGATATACAAGAAAATATTAATAATATAGAAAATTAAGGTATTTTCAAATTAAAAATATTTACTTTTATATTATTTCATTTTTTCAAAATACATTTTAAATTATAAATTAAATTTAACTTTATATAATAGAGTTTACAAACGAATACTTATATTCAAAAAATGTTTCTTTACCTTAAGGTGCAACTAAAGTAAAAGAAAAAAATGAAAATAAAATTTAAATAAATTATTTTAAATAAAAAAGAGTGAAATAAGTCTAATGAATTATATTTATGGATATATGGATCCTATTGCACTAAATAGCATGATAAAACTTCTTTACTTATATACAGAATGTATTATAACAACAAAATAAATGATAGACTAAGGTTCTTATCTTTTATAAGGTTTTTAATAACCAGAAAAACTTGTTGAATAATTAAAAGATTTAGTAGAATGCCGTCAAAATGGTAGAAGAAAATTGACTAATTATTTTAAGCCTTTAGCAGATATAGACTTCAATAATTGTGAGAGGTTTACCCATAGCTATGTAAAAACTCCTCCTTGTTATCCCATTCAATACTCTGGTATGAATAAAGTATCTAAAAGTTTAATAAATACTTAAATCATAACAGTTCCAAGGGGTAGTGAACATGTGACGTTTAGTATTATGAGAAAAAATATTTATGAAGAATAACTTTTTAAAAGCGAAGATGAAAAATATGAATTTGACCATCATATTTAAATATTAAAAAGGACAATAAAATTACTTGAAGAAGCATAAAAAATAGAAGATACTGAAAAGTAAAAAAACTTTATTGAAAAAGCTCTTGAAATGAAAATAATTTAATATATGTACAAAAATGGATCCAATGAATAAAATGAAATTTGCATATTTATGCTTAAAAATCCTAAATTCGGAATTGAATAACCTTTAAGATCTTTAAAAGCGAAGTTGGAAGAAGTATAGAATGCAAAAAAACTTAAATGAAGAAATCATGGATTGAAGTAGCAGAAAAAACCTACACAGATCACTTGATCATAGATCTTTTATCTTTAAAAGACATGATAAAAAATATACTTAATAACAAAGATTTGAAAAAGAAGCTGAATTTAGAAATAAAATGTTATTGAAAAAAGCGAATTAAAAAATAGAAAATAAAGATGATTTTTCAACTAATATTTACAAGTATTTCGGAGACTTCCTTAACACATTTGAAAATATAACTAATTTAGAAAAATGTCAGCATGATAATACAGGAAAAATAAATTTTGATTATGAACTTATTAAGAAGAAATATACATTACCGATTATGATTCTTAAATTTGATAAAAAAGACATTTCCGAAGATGCACTTTCAATTCTAATTTTTTATCTTTAAAACTTTGCAGTTTGTCATGAGAAAGAAAAAATTAAAAAAGCTGTTCTAAACTTAATGAGTAAGTATTTTGGTATTAATTATTATAATTATATTGATAGCAACATGAATGAGAATAAAATTATTAAATAAGTAACTGATATTGAAAATAAAATTTTTGAAAAAGTTTAGTCATATTTAAAAACTAATAAAGAAGATAACATAAATTAATAAGAAGAAAATAATAAACTTTAAACTCCATTAAAAGCTAACCATTTATTGGACTCTCCGTTAGAAAATAATTAAAAAGTTGTTGAAAGTACTGATAAAAATATAGATGATGAAAATGATAATGATAATTCTGATCTTAGTGATGTTTTCAATTAAGAAAACAAAAAAATTAATTAACCATTAGATAAATGAATTATTCATCTGAAAAAATAAATGAAAATTAATATTTTCCTGAATATAAACCAGAACAAAAAAACTAGATTTTGTTTTTCGGAACAAAATATATGTATGCTTTTATTAGATTTTTCTATGTTCTATATGAGAGGTTATACAAAGCTTAAGAAATTTCAGATCATTTTGAAGATAATTCTAAAACAAATAAGTTATTAACTTAAGAAAAAAAAGATTTGGCTAAGGAAAGATATTCAATATTTAAAAATATACTTATTAGCTCTTTCAAAACAAAAGAAAATAAATATGAAGATTATCTAAGAAGTATTTTTGGAAAACAGGCTTTCTTATTATTTACTATTGATAAAACTCTTATTTCTACAGTAAAAAGTCTTCAATTATACCTATAAGATAATCTAAATTAAAAATTTTTAAATCTTTAATAAGATTAAGGAGAAAATTTTGTTGAAGAGATTATTTATGCTAAAATTAACAAAATTATCTTGAACTCTATTTCTGGATAAGGTAATGATAAATTTGATAAATATATTTTTAGATTTAATATTGATAAAAATACTAATGTTATGTACGTAAACTATATTGACTCCATCTATAAAGATTGGACTGGTGACTAAATTGAGAGGTCCAAATATTATTTTAATTAATATGTTTAAGAAAGTGTTTAATTTCAAAACAAATGCTAAATTTCATAATCCGCAGTTTATTTAAATAGAAATAAAGCTAAAAATATATAAAAAATTAAGCATAAAATAATTTAAATTTATTAAAAAAATGAATTAGAATATCTAACTTTGCATAACTCAACTAATATTATTAATACAAGTAATAATAAAGAAGACATTTTAATTTCAAGTTAAAAATTAAAAAGAAAATTAACTCCTTTAAATAATATTGTTTCTACTGAATATAAAAAAGTATGTAATTTTAATAAATGGATAGAATAAAAATTTAAAAATTTAGATAAAAAAAATTGAATTATAAGTATAATAAATTATATATATTTATTTTACATAAAATATAAAAATAAAATAAATAAAATAATTAATATTTTTCGATTATTTTTTAATTTAATAATAATTTTATAAGTGGTATATATTTATTATAAAATAATTATTTAATAAACATAAATTTTAAAATATTAATTAATTCAATATAAACTATATTTATTTATACTTATCTTTTTATATTTAAAGACATATTTTTATATTTATTAATTTATAAATAGTATTTTTTATAGTAAAATTGGATTTCTTAAAAAATTAAATAAAAAAATTTAAAAATCATAAAATTATTAATAATTTAATAAATTTAAAATTCTATAAAATATAAAAATAATAATATAAAAAATATAAATTTCATATAAAAATTAAAATCATAAATTATATAAATATAATATAAAAAAAAAATATATATCAATAATTAATTTAAAATTTAAATAATAAATAAGTCTAATAACATAAAAAAAAAATGAATAAATATTAGTGCAGTAAAAAAGCAAGAGTTAATAATTCTAATAAAATTATTGATTTAATAATATACAATCAAATTATATAAATTTATTTAAATAAGAAACATAAATATATATTAAAAAAAAGGAAATACTAAAATAATTATTAATAATTTAGAAAAAATTATTGTAGATATATTAAAAAATATTTTTTTTATTTTTATAATAAAAAAATTATATAATTAATTCAATTATATTAATAAGATTTAATGATATAAAATTTAATATAAAAATATTCTAATATAAATTTTTATATAAAAAAATAAAGATTAAAAAAGAAAAAAAATAAAAAAAAAAAAATCAAAATATTAGAAAAATTGATAAATAAAAGATAAAAAAAAAAATATTTATTATTTATGTTAGTAATAAAAATAAAATTGAAAAAAATTAAAATAAAAATAAAATAATTTTCCTATAATAAATATATATTAATTATATTTATATTTATATTTATATTTATTTTTATATTTATATTAATATTTATATTTATAATAAATATTTACATATATATATATATATATATATAATATTTTTTTATATACATAAAATAAAATTTACAACTATAATATAAATAAAAATTTTATATTTTTATAATCATAATGTTTCTTTAATAAGCTTATGAAAGAAGAATAAGAGATAATGTTTAAAATATAAATACATAATAAGTTATATAAAACATTTAAAAATATAATAAATTAAAAAGGAATAATAATTAGATACATATATAAAAACAAAAATTAGATTTAAAATTTTAAAATAGGAAGTATTAAAAATGGAAAATATCATTTTGACAAAGATGAAGAATTTTTTTCTATAAATGACATTCCAAAACAACATTTAGAATCTAAAAAATAAATTAAATAATTTATTGATCCTGATATTTTAAATTTAAGAAAAAAAGAATGGAATCCATCTATTTTATTACCTTTAAATCCAAAATTAGAAGAACCTCATGAAAGAAAGTTAATGAAAGTAAAAAAAATTAAACTCTAAGAAATAATCATTAATAAATAAAAAGATTAAGTTAGGTCTTATAGATCGCCCTATCCCAATCCCTAAAGAAATTGTTTAAGAAGAAAAATATGATGATGGTAGAAAATGGAATATAAGTACTTAACAAGACAAATAGAATCGTTAAAATATCCTCAAAGAATTGTGATTTTTTAAATAAAAAATATAAATTAATTTTATTTTTATCAAGTACAATAAAATCGAAAAGATTAAATAAAGTTAGATATGATGAATTATTAACTAATTATAACTCTCCTTAATAATCAATAAAACTTTAAGTAGAAAAATAAAGAACTATAAAAAAAGAAGAAAAATAATGGCGAAATAAATTAAAATAAGAGTATTTCTATAAATTATTATGTGTATTATTTTTAAAAAAAAAGATATGTATTTTAAAATCCAAATTCATCAATAGAGAAAATTTAAGGAGCAGTATTTAGACTTGATTATGAATCAAAATTAAGATAAAAACAAATATAATTAATTGTATTAAAATTAAAATTAATATAAACATTATATTTTAAAATAAAAAGGACCCAAATTGTGTTTTTAAACCTATATTATATAAGCCTTTATGTGAAAAGCAAATAAAATATTTTCATACAGGAATATATTAGGCTTGTCATAAAAAAAAAATGATGAAAATACTTAAAAAAAAGAACGTTAAGCATGGTCTTGCTGCCTAAATACAGATAAAGATAGTCAAGGATGCAACAAATACATAGTTGATAAT